CTGCTTTTAAAACATTTGGTTTACCAAGCGCTGGTAGGTGGCTCCAACATTCTTCAATCCAAAGGGCATAACCTGGTAGCAGTATGTCCCCTGCTTAGTCACGAAGGAGGTCTTCTCTTGGTCATTAGGATCCATTCTGATTTGGTTGTACCCAGAGAAAACATCTATAAAGCTGAGGAGCTCGTGCCCAGTTGTGGCATTCACAATTAGGTCAATCTGTGGTAAAGAGAAGTTGTCCTTAGGGCAAGCTCGATTGAGATTGATAAAATTGATGCAGAGACGTCACTTGCCATTGGTTTTTTTGACGAGGACCACGTTTGCTAGCCAAGTTGGGTAATCTACCTCCTTAATGACTTTAGCATGAAGAAGTTTGCTGACTTCTTCATTGATTGCCTTTTGGCATTCTGGGGCAAAACTCATTCGTTTCTGTTTGATGGATTTACAGACAGGATTCACACTGAGCTTGTGTGTGATAACTGAGGGGTCAATTCTTTTCATATCTTCTTGTTTTTAGGCAAAAACTTATATATTTCTTCTAAGAAATTGGATCATAAGGTTTTAATTCTCTTGTTTAGCTTAGATCCCACGTATACCAAGTGCTTCGATTTTTCGTCAAGCTAGATAGGCTCCAGCTCTTCTGATGGCGTTGGCCTAGTTTTCAACTCGTCCCTCATGTCAAGCTTGTCCAGTTGGATGTTTTTGACCTCTTTCTTTTTCACGGATGCCACGTAGCACTCTCGTGCCACACGCTGGTCTCCTCAGACCACTCTAATTCTGTTTTCCGTAGGGAACTTCATGACAAAATGGTAGGCAGAAGGAATGACCCTCATGGCATTGAGGGAATGTCTTCCAAGCAAGATGTTGTATGCTAAAGGTGCATCGACCACTAGGAACCTCACAATGGTGAGGGTCTGACAAGGAGGATCCCTCATAGTGAGCAGAAGCTGGATTGACCCCAGAGGCAACACCTTTTCCCCTGAGAACCCTAATAGGTGAGCGCTTACTAGCTCAAGTTTGTCTCTACCTATATCCATCTTGTCGAAGGCAAACGCAAAGATGATCTCAACAGAGCTCTCATTGTCAATCAGGACTCTATGGATGGTTCTGTTTGCGACAATAACTTTTACCACCAGGGGGTCATCATGGGGATGCTAGTAGTCTTCCAAGTCTGAGTCTGAAAAAGTGATATTCGTGTTTAGCCAAGGTGTCTTGGACACAATATGCACTTCTAGTATCTCGTCAGTTATGATTTTGTGTAGGTGAGCCTTCTTGGCTGAGCTGGATTCCTCGCTCCTGCGAATCTTATGGATATCACTTTGATATCCTTTAGAGGCTGTTGATGTTGTGCAGAGACCTGCTGCTGAGATGCAAGAGGTGGTGGTGAAGCTCAGTTCTGATTGTCATGCCACAAAGCGGCGCAACTGCCCTCGCTGAATTAGAAACTTGATTTCCTTCTTCAACTAGATGCAATTATCTATGAGATGGTCGTGGTCTCTGTGGTACTCGCAATACTTTGTCGAATCTCTTTTTGTTNTGGATGCAATTATCTGTGAGATGGTCGTGCTCTCTGTGGTACTCGCAATACTTTGTCGAATCTCTTTTTGTTGGGTTCGCCTTCATCCGAGGAGGCCACCTCAGGAATTTCTCATTTTGTACCTCGTAAAGGATCTGGGACACCATAGTTGTGGGTGGGGTGAGCTGTCGGGGTGCATACCTCAGCTGTAATTCTGATTGTGGAAGCCTTAGGCGATCCTTGACATCTCCCCTCCTTTTGGGGGAGCGATCTCTGTCTCTTATTGGAGACCTATCTCGTCTTTTTTCTTGTCTAGGACTTCGGTCCCTCTTCCTCTCTTCCTTCTCTTTCTCCTTCTGTGTGGATGAGCTCCCTACCTTAGAAAGGAGAGCTTCGTCGCCATTAATATACTTTTCTGTCTTGACTAACACCTCTGTCATGCTTGTTTGTGAGTTTTTTTGATATAGAGAACATAAAGTCCTTCGATTGCACTCCTAACCTGGTAATGAAAGCCATGATGGCGAATTTTTCATCCGGGACGTCAACTTTCAACGATTCCGAGTTAAACCTCTAGACATAAAATCGTAGGTTCTTGTTGGGGCCTTGTTTCACATTCAACAGGTGATAGCTTAGTTTTTGATAGGTCTGGGCTCCTATGAAGTGTGACACAAAGGATACAGAGAGCTCCTTGAAGGAGGAGATAGACGTCGAGGCTAGCCTGTTGAACCATGCTAAGGGCTAAGTCTTTTAACGTAATAGCGAAGGCGCGACATGGCACAGGATCTTGATACCCGTGCAACTCCATTTGGTTCTTGTAGGTGTTGAGGTGATCCATGAGATCTTTAGTCCCATCAAAAGCCTCCATTTGGGGTATTCTAAACTTCGAAGGGAGGGAGAAGTGTAGCACATCTATAGTAAAAGGGGACTCAGTCTGCTAGACCAAGGCATCCATAGTTACTGGGGTCTTGCCTCTCATAGCTTCCTTCATGTGGATGAGCTCCTGCTGGATATCTTTGAAACATTGTCCCCAATACTGTTCTCTTCCTTCCTGCGGGAAATGGAGAAACTTGTTTTTCTCAATTCCCATATGGCTTTGCACTGCTTCGTTGTCACCATTCTTAGGGGGTGGATGTGGAGAATGGATATTTTCACCCCTCGTTAGTCTCCCTTAGGGGATTGAGACGTTGATGTTCCCCTTGTGGGGGATCATTGGGATTATCCTGGGCTGGTCGCGCCTTCTGAGGACGTTGTAAGAGCTTCAAGAGCTCATCATTCTGTTGTAATAGACATTGGTTGACTACGCAGAGAGCCTCCAGTTCATTATTCGCAGGGGGCTCCACCATGGGAGGATTGGTCTTTGTGGTGGGAAAGAAGTCTTGAAGGTTTTCTTGTTGCCTTCCGCTGGTGGCTTCCTACTGGTTCTGCACCCGTTGGGGATTCATCTGACTTCTGCTCATGTTGTGTGTAGAGACCATCAATTATTGAAAGATATCAGTGTATTTGTGATNACGCAGAGAGCCTCCAGTTCATTATTCGCAGGGGGCTCCGCCATGGGAGGATTGGTCTTTGTGGTGGGAAAGAAGTCTTGAAGGTTTTCTTGTAGCCTTCCGCTGGTGGCTTCCTACTGGTTCTGCATCCGTTGGGGATTCATCTGACTTCTGCTCATGTTGTGTGTAGAGACCATCAATTATTGAAAGATATCAGTGTATTTGTGATAGGAACAATCGTTCCCACAGGCAGCANTCTCTAAAAAAGAGTATGATTAATGATTTTACGTGATATGTAAGGTGAATATTAACCCGAGCGATACATTTTGGTTTTAATTCAGCAATCAACATCGATAAAATTTAAAATTAGAGTNTTGAAAGATATCAGTGTATTTGTGATAGGAACAATCGTTCCCACAGGCAGCACCAAACTGATGGTGTGTGAACCGTGATTGAGCAGATTTCGTGTGCTATTGGGTTTGATTTGAGCTACGAGGCTCTTGGGAATAGTGAGGTAAATCGGGAATGAAGAATGGATTGCACAGAAGAATTATAGTTGTTCACTAGTTTGAAAGCTCGGCTAATCCACTCTTTAATAGAGTCTCTTTCTCTTGTGATCTTTATTAAAGACTCTAAGAGGATGACACAGTACTCTTGGTTCAATTTTTTGGTTGTCTGGTTTTCNGGTGTTCACTAGTTTGAGAGCTCAGCTAATCCACTCTTTAATAGAGTCTCTTTCTCTTGTGATCTTTATTAATGACTCTAAGAGGATGACACAGTACTCTTGGTTCAATTTTTTGGTTGTCTGGTTTTCNTTATGGTACTTCTTTATAAACAAAAAAATTCTTTCGCGAGTAAATTAAACTCATGACAAATGTCATAAAAGAACAATTTTATGATTATGTCAAGGGCATGAGAATCAAAAACTTGTCATTACGAGCTAGAGGCGGGCTAAGCGAATTCCTCTTTCTCTTAAATTTAATCAAGGTCTGCTTTCAAACAATCGAAGCANTCTCTCCCTCCACCTAAGTGAGGGCTTTGCCCAGCATTTATAGCCTAGTTTCTAGTTCTAAGGGGTCCGAGGCGAGATCTTCGCCTTCCTTTCGTTATATCCCTCTTGATTTTAGACGATGGTTTGGCCAATTGAGAATCTTGTGCCTACACTGGCACTTATGGCCGTTGAGGGAGGGGGCACTTCCCGGTTGCTAGCTGTCTTCCACCTATTTTCTTTNGCTTGATGAACAAAGTTTCTCGTCACTGTTAACAGTTAATTGCACATTGATGTTGTGAACTAGTACATTCTTTTTTTTTTTGGTTCAATGGTCAGGGATGATTAGGCCAGTTTACGCATACTTCGATTAATCTTTTTCTTAGTTCGGTCAAAGGCTGGTCATCCCGAGATGACCTGATCTAAAAAATTATCAAAATTCAAATTCAAGACATATGTTTTACAACTCGTCTCTTTTATTACTTGAATTATACCTTGGGTTTGAATTAGCANTCAGGGTACAGGTCTAGGGTACCCCGGATCTGAACCTCTGAGCTCAAGCTTTCTTGGTTGAGCTCCTCTCCTAATCTCAGCGTCTGAGCTCAAATTTGGAATTTTTCTTAGGTTGTTTTTCTTTTTCTGTTCTCTTCTTGGACTAAACAGACAGGTGATATAACGTGGATTGTTAATCTACATAATCAGGCAGGAACCACATGTCAGTTAGAATAATTAAGATTCTCGTTACTATAGAGTCCAAATTGAATCCTCCAGTAATTCTAAAAAATCTTATCATGCTATCCAAATATGGTCCTCAATGTCCTCGAAAAGGTTAAGGGAGTGAGGACACAGTGGGCCTAGACAGTTGCATATGATTCCTCCTTTCACATCAAGGTTTTTGTCTCCATATACGTAGCCAATCAGTCGCAATCTTAACCCCTTATACAGTAACCTAGTAGTCATTTGTATGTTCTTCATTGTCTGAACTTTCACAAAGGTGCTTTTAAGCAAAACCATGGAGTCTGGGAAGGCAATTTGTGTCTTTGGGATACTCTTTTTCGTATTGGCTGGTATAGAAGCCAGTCAACTTGGTGGTGGTTTAAGGAAGTGTGGTTTCCCTGCGGTATACAACTTCGGCGACTCAAATTCCGACACCGGAGGACTATCAGCTGCCCTGGATGAGGTGCCTCCACCTAATGGTGAAACTTTCTTTGGCAAGCCTTCTGGGAGGTTCTGTGATGGTCGTCTCATCATAGATTTGATAGGTACGAAGGTGAATTTTTTTATTTTCTCTAAAAAAGAGTATGATTAATGATTTTACGTGATATGTAAGGTGAATATTAACCCGAACGATACATTTTGGTTTTAATTCAGCAATCAACATCGATAAAATTTAAAATTAGAGTTTAATAGAAACGTTATAAATTCGATTATTATACACTTTATTTTTTTATAATTCTGAGTATTGTACACTGGGGACGATTTAAAAGATAATAAGTATAATCTTAGTAGTAGCACAGTTGCATCCACGAGCACCAATGTGAACTGTAATTCATGAAGAACTCATTTGGTGCATGCTTTTACTAGCTACAAGGTTCAGAAGCCAATAGTCGGCAGCTCAAAAAAGAGTTAGTTTAATGTACGGACTTATGAAATTTGGGAAGGTGAGAAGTTCTTTATAAACAAAAAAATTCTTTCGCAAGAAAATTAAACACATGACAAATGTCATAAAAGAACAATTTTATGATTATGTCAAGGGCATCAAGGTCTGAGAATCAAAAACTTGTCATTACGAGCTAGAGGCGGGCTAAGCGAATTCCTCTTTCTCTTAAATTTAATCAAGGTCCGCTTTCAAACAATCGAAGCAGCTTGAAGAACAAAATTTCTCGTCACTGTTAACAATTAATTGCACATTGATGTTGTGAACTAATACATTTTTTTTTTTGGTTTAATGGTCAGGGATGTTTAGGCCGGTTTACGCATACTTCGATTAATCTTTTTCTTAGTTCGGTCAAAGGCTGGTCATCCCGATATGACCTGATCTAAAAAATTATCAAAATTCAAATTCAAGACATATGTTTTACAACTCGTCTCTTTTATTACTTGAATTATACCTTGGGTTTGAATTAGCACTTTGGCATGATCGCATTTTTTAGTTCTCCAACAAATTTTCTTGCGCCATGCAGTTGAGAACTTGGGGTTGCCATACCTGAGTGCGTATCTGGACTCAATCGGAACCAATTTCAGGCATGGTGCTAATTTTGCGACCGGAGGCTCGTCGATCCTACCCGGTGGCTACAGCCCCATCCACCTAGACATCCAGATTTCTCAATTCATACAGTTCAAGTCTCGGACCACTGCTCTTTATAAGCAACTTGGTGACCACAGTAATCTACCGAGGCCTCGAGACTTCTCAAAGGCTCTATACACATTTGACATTGGACAGAATGATCTTGCCTATGGTTTCGAGCATACAAATGAGGCTCATACCCGAGCTTCCATTCCTACTATCCTGGATGAGTTTGCTCAAGCAGTACAGGTAACAATTCACTACTCACAAAGTCAATCTACAAGTACTCGAATCTTGTACCTCAACCACATGACCAGAGCAATTGTCTTGAGACAGCAGGATGTATGGTATAGGCCTCCCTATTTTCTCTCTTTTAGAGGCTTCTATGGATTTTGAGTCTGGAATAGAATAGTGCCTTATTCGGCACTATACAGACACGAATTCGACTATGCATAGTTACAAACGAATCGCATGTGAATTAAATAAATTTTGACACGTCATAACTTGCAAACATGATACAACAAAACTCATTGACAACAATTAGTTCAATATTCCGTGCCATCTGAGGCTGATCGAATTGGAACTAAAATCCCATTGTGATCTATGTTCCAACAACTATACAATGAAGGGGTTGAGTTTTCTGGGTGCATAACACTGATTAGATATGTATTGAACACAAATTGACACGACACAAATGACCCATATTGTGGTTCATGTTTCAGCAACTATACAAAAAAGGGGCAAGAGTTTTCTGGGTGCACAACACTGGTCCAATAGGGTGCCTACCATACAATGAGATATACTACCAGCCGAAGCCTGGCAATTTGGACNCCTCCACCTAATGGTGAAACTTTCTTTGGCAAGCCTTCTGGGAGGTTCTGTGATGGTCGTCTCATCATAGATTTGATAGGTACGAAGGTGAATTTTTTTATTTTATCTAAAAAAGAGTATGATTAATGATTTTACGTGATATGTAAGGTGAATATTAACCCGAACGATACATTTTGGTTTTAATTCAGCAATCAACATCGATAAAATTTAAAATTAGAGTTTAATAGAAACGTTATAAATTCGATTATTATACACTTTATTTTTATTTTTTTTATAATTCTGAGTATTGTACACTGGGGACGATTTAAAAGATAATAAGTATAATCTTAGTAGTAGCACAGTTGCATCCACGAGCACCAATGTGAACTGTAATTCATGAAGAACTCATTTGGTGCATGCTTTTACTAGCTACAAGGTTCAGAAGCCAATAGTCGGCAGCTCAAAAAAGAGTTAGTTTAATGTACGGACTTATGAAATTTGGGAAGGTGAGAAGTTCTTTATAAACAAAAAAATTCTTTCGCAAGAAAATTAAACACATGACAAATGTCATAAAAGAACAATTTTATGATTATGTCAAGGGCATCAAGGTCTGAGAATCAAAAACTTGTCATTACGAGCTAGAGGCGGGCTAAGCGAATTCCTCTTTCTCTTAAATTTAATCAAGGTCCGCTTTCAAACAATCGAAGCAGCTTGAAGAACAAAATTTCTCGTCACTGTTAACAATTAATTGCACATTGATGTTGTGAACTAATACATTTTTTTTTTTGGTTTAATGGTCAGGGATGTTTAGGCCGGTTTACGCATACTTCGATTAATCTTTTTCTTAGTTCGGTCAAAGGCTGGTCATCCCGATATGACCTGATCTAAAAAATTATCAAAATTCAAATTCAAGACATCTGTTTTACAACTCGTCTCTTTTATTACTTGAATTATACCTTGGGTTTGAATTAGCANCCATCCACTTTTTCATTTTTCCTATTTTCATTTCTTACCAAACATAATGTTTTATCTATTCCTCTAATTTTGCATCCTTCTATTTTTCAATCGTACTGCACCAAGCATAAATCTTTGGAGGACTACCCATCTAGCTGGCCCCAATGAGCTTTAGTGACTTTTCATTTGATTAAAAATCGACTTGCTAAGATATTCTTTTTTCCGATATTAATTTATCAAATTTTTAATTTGATTGGATTCATGGTATGTCAACCAACATCAAAACAATTTAGTATTGAAGTAGATCATGAGCTAGTGTCATATATGAATAAGTATGAAGTAACTTGAGTTGCATTAATTTAAAATCGATATAAGAATATTACGCATTTGCCTCCTAATTTTATTCCAATATTATGTATCTAGCAATAGAAACAGATCTTCCTCAATCTCAACAAACTCTTATTACTGTCAGCTAAGACAATTAATCAAGTAGTTTAAACTTAAGAACTCACAACTGAAGTTTTCTTAAAGACAAGTTTGGTGCAACTACAAAGGAAAAAGAAATTCCACCATTACTTTATTAAACCAGAAGATAAACAAAGAACATATTGACAGAGGAAGTTCATCAACTCAAACAATGACAGATGTGCCATTTTCTTCTCAAATCCCCCAAAATAGTTGACCATCAGAACCAGTATCCTCCTCTCTTTCTGACGTCAGGGTCTGGGGAGGGTCATATGCACGTAGCCTTACCCCTCTTTCTGATCAGAATTATTATTTAATTTTCTCCTTAACTTTGCGAAACAGAATCTAAGCAAGCAACCCACCACCTAAACATTTGTGTAATGAAAACTTTTACAATTTATGGAAGAAAATCATCAATGGCATCAAAGTACCTTAATATCACCCTTTCTGATGGTACGAGAATTGTTGTCAAGGAGGGTTTCTAGTGATCTGGATTGTCTCTTCCTGGCCCTGCCTGCTTCTTTTAATAACTCTGCCAATCTCCTTCTCTCATCATCCACATCAGGATTTGCTGTTCCAAGCTTCTCCTCTCTCATCCCGACGACATATTCCAAAATTTCGACTGCATCATTAGTCCTGCATAAAATGTAAATCACGAGGCTCGAGAGATTATAACAAAAATGTAAAACTAAAAGCAAAAGAAACTAATGAGTAGATAGATTCACAAATGCTCTTTAGACTTCTATTCAAGATTAGGCTCAAACTGTCGAACAAGGTTATATATCTAATGCTTCAATAACTGGATGAACTCTACATATTCTGTCCTCAACTGCATTGTAGAAATACTCGAAAGAAGGAAAGGGAGAGAGAACATTAATTCTTTATGCTATTGTAATGAAATAAGAGAAGGAAAATACCTGCCCAAGGCATCATAAGTGCCAGCAAGATTGCTGTAAACCCCTAGTGTGTCAGGGTGATAAGGTCCACATTCAGTCTCCAAAATAGTCCTTGCTTCTTCAAAGAGATCTGCAGCTTCGTTTATTGCGTAAAGTTGCACACAGACAAGTCCCATTTGGTTCAGAGCAATACCAAAGAGAGCAGATTTCTTCTCTCCAATTGCCCGAAACTTTGAAATTGCACTTGTGAAAGAGTTATAAGAATCAGAGTAACTTCCCAGCATATAGTACAAGACCCCCATCTGAGACTCAATTCCTGCAATTGTGCTTTGTTGACCAGGTGCATTGCCATATACCTTTAAGGCCCTCTGAAGCAATTTAAGTGCCTGATCAGGTTCATTCAAAGATTCATAGATAGCAGAAATGTCAATNATATGTTGATGTGTATTCAGCTAAATACACCCTAATAAGCAATGCAAAGAACCAAGGTAAGCTTCTGTTACACTTACCAAGTATATATTATTGAGTATATATGTTGCAATAAGGATGCAATTTGGACAGGTTAATCCGATTCACCAGAAACTATTTAGTCTTTGGATAGAGATTTCAACACTCAGGTTGGGCTTGGTAATCCCTTAGGGGTGGTTTAGCGCTTAAGTCTTTTCTCTTGTAAATAAGATTTCTTAGGTTCAATATTTCTTACACCCCTTATGGGTCAGTCACCTTACTTCTCGGGAACATATCCTTAAACTAAATCAAGTTACGGTAGTCAGTTTAGAACTCGAGAGAGTAGTCGACATAAATCTAAACACTCTATAATCAAAAAAATTGGGCTTAGGTCAAATATCTTCAAATCATTTTAAATTTTGGCAATATTTTGGTTGTGGTCGTGAGTATTCAAGATTCAATTTTAACCCTCCACGAATTATTGAATTTGTGTTCGATCCAAATTAAACCTGAATTTAACCTAGTCTAAATTAAGTATTCATATAATCAAATTTGATATCAATCCAACTTGAATCCCATTTTTTAACCCACGAACTGGAGTCGAATTAAAATTTAAACTTGGATTACGTTATTTAGATTAAGAGTCTTATAATTTGGATTATATTTGTGTTAGACTTGTCAACCTACCCAACCAATGCACCCCTGTTTTGCATATTTTTCCTTTAAGGAACTTGCTTTGGGTGCATATCTAACTGTTCTTGCACTGTAATTATGTGGTAGCAGGTTTTGAAAATCCAATGGAGTTCTGTTGTGGCAGTTATTACGGTGAATACATCGATTGTGGTAAAACAGCGAAGGTGAATGGTACCATCTATGGGCTACCATGTCATAACCCATCAAGATATATAAGCTGGGATGGCATACACTACTCTCAGGCGGCCAACCTATTGATTGCAGAAGTCATTCTCAATGGCTCATTGTCTGATCCCCCAATTTCAATCAGAGAGGCTTGTCAAAATCCTAAGAATGCTTAGTGACAACGCAAAATCTGTCAAAAATTATCATCCATTTGCCTATNAGAGGCTTGTCCAAATCATAAGAATGCTTAGTGACAACGCAAAATCTGTCAAAAATTATCATCCATTTGCCTATGGATTTGCCAATTTTACCATAAATTGATGGCTTTTGTGTAGTGATTAATTATATTTTAAGTTGTTTCGGTTAACCGGAAAAGTCACTGTAGTGATGGACATTTCACCAATTAATGACCGTGTTTGCTCGCATACTTGACAATAAAACCCCACAGTATTTATATCCTTCAAAGTAATAGTGATATACTTTCTGTTTGAAAAAAAAACGGAATGATGGAAATTGAAAGTGATACTCTTTCTATCATTCAAGGATAAATTCTTGCTTCCCTCTTTTGTGTTTGGTAGGATGGATGGATGGAAAATAGGAAGAATAATCGATACATATCTTAGCATTATATCTATATATGAAATTAATGTATACACAATATATAATAGGTAAATATGATATATGCACATAGTAAAGGTTATATAAGTAAATAACAAACATTTCGGCACACATAATTAATTTTTCATCCACTTTTTCTCCCAATTTTGAAGGGATTGATTTTGGTGAATTGGAAGGAAAATTAATCTATCAACTTTTTCATTCTTCCTATTTTCATTTCTTACCAAACATAATGTTTTATCTATTCCTCTAATTTTGCACCCTTCTATTTTTCAATCGTACTGCACCAAGCATAAATCTTTGGAGGACTACCCATCAAGCTGGCCCCAATGAGCTTTAGTGACTTTTCATTTGATTAAAAATCGACTTGCTAAGATATTCTTTTTTCCGATATTAATTTATCAAATTTTTAATTTGATTGGATTCATGGTATGTCAACCAACATCAAAACAATTTAGTATTGAAGTAGATCATGAGCTAGTGTCATATATGAATAAGTATGAAGTAACTTGAGTTGCATTAATTTAAAATCGATATAAGAATATTACGCATTTGCCTCCTAATTTTATTCCAATATTATGTATCTAGCAATAGAAACAGATCTTCCTCAATCTCAACAAACTCTTATTACTGTCAGCTAAGACATATTAATCAAGTAGTTTAAACTTAAGAACTCACAACTGAAGTTTTCTTAAAGACAAGTTTGGTGCAACTACAAAGGAAAAAGAAATTCCACCATTACTTTATTAAACCAGAAGATAAACAAAGAACATATTGACAGAGGAAGTTCATCAACTCAAACAATGACAGATGTGCCATTTTCTTCTCAAATCCCCCAAAATAGTTGACCATCAGAACCAGTATCCTCCTCTCTTTCTGACGTCAGGGTCTGGGGAGGGTCATATGCACGTAGCCTTACCCCTCTTTCTGATCAGAATTATTATTTAATTTTCTCCTTAACTTTGCGAAACAGAATCTAAGCAAGCAACCCACCACCTAAACATTTGTGTAATGAAAACTTTTACAATTTATGGAAGAAAATCATCAATGGCATCAAAGTACCTTAATATCACCCTTTCTGATGGTACGAGAATTGTTGTCAAGGAGGGTTTCTAGTGATCTGGATTGTCTCTTCCTGGCCCTGCCTGCTTCTTTTAATAACTCTGCCAATCTCCTTCTCTCATCATCCACATCAGGATTTGCTGTTCCAAGCTTCTCCTCTCTCATCCCGACGACATATTCCAAAATTTCGACTGCATCATTAGTCCTGCATAAAATGTAAATCACGAGGCTCGAGAGATTATAACAAAAATGTAAAACTAAAAGCAAAAGAAACTAATGAGTAGATAGATTCACAAATGCTCTTTAGACTTCTATTCAAGATTAGGCTCAAACTGTCGAACAAGGTTGTATATCTAATGCTTCAATAACTGGATGAACTCTACATATTCTGTCCTCAACTGCATTGTAGAAATACTCGAAAGAAGGAAAGGGAGAGAGAACATTAATTCTTTATGCTATTGTAATGAAATAAGAGAAGGAAAATACCTGCCCAAGGCATCATAAGTGCCAGCAAGATTGCTGTAAACCCCTAGTGTGTCAGGGTGATAAGGTCCACATTCAGTCTCCAAAATAGTCCTTGCTTCTTCAAAGAGATCTGCAGCTTCGTTTATTGCGTAAAGTTGCACACAGACAAGTCCCATTTGGTTCAGAGCAATACCAAAGAGAGCAGATTTCTTCTCTCCAATTGCCCGAAACTTTGAAATTGCACTTGTGAAAGAGTTATAAGAATCAGAGTAACTTCCCAGCATATAGTACAAGACCCCCATCTGAGACTCAATTCCTGCAATTGTGCTTTGTTGACCAGGTGCATTGCCATATACCTTTAAGGCCCTCTGAAGCAATTTAAGTGCCTGATCAGGTTCATTCAAAGATTCATAGATAGCAGAAATGTCAATNGAAATAAGAGAAGGAAAATACCTGCCCAAGGCATCATAAGTGCCAGCAAGATTGCTGTAAACCCCTAGTGTGTCAGGGTGATAAGGTCCACATTCAGTCTCCAAAATAGTCCTTGCTTCTTCAAAGAGATCTGCAGCTTCGTTTATTGCGTAAAGTTGCACACAGACAAGTCCCATTTGGTTCAGAGCAATACCAAAGAGAGCAGATTTCTTCTCTCCAATTGCCCGAAACTTTGAAATTGCACTTGTGAAAGAGTTATAAGAATCAGAGTAACTTCCCAGCATATAGTACAAGACCCCCATCTGAGACTCAATTCCTGCAATTGTGCTTTGTTGACCAGGTGCATTGCCATATACCTTTAAGGCCCTCTGAAGCAATTTAAGTGCCTGATCAGGTTCATTCAAAGATTCGTAGATAGCAGAAATGTCAATAAGACCACTGGCAATCTCTTCAGGGGAGCTCCCGGAAAGGGGCTTCAAATAAATACGAAATGCATTTTCACAGTACGATTTCGATTCCCTGAATTTTCCAATCTTGTTGTACAAATCAGCCAATCGAACAAACACCGAAGCAACGGATGAATGATTCTCTCCCTTGGTTGACTTAAACGCGGTTAGTGCTTTTTGATAAGCAAAAATAGCCTCATCATATCGAGCCAACGATAAATATGCATCACCAATGTTGCAATCAATGAAAGCAACATCAGCTTCCTGGCCATTGGCAGCCATGGCCATGCTTGCTAAAACATAATGTTCAAGAGCACCTTCATAATCTCCTTTGGAGTCACAAATCAGTCCCATAAGTCTCCTATCTGCTGCTTCTTCAGGAGAAGCAGGGGAGCCATGCTCTCTGTGAATGTCAAGAGCCATCTGACAAAGCCTCTGGGCATCATCAAATTGCAAGGCCTGCACATGGGCTTCAGCCACATACCTACAAGTCTCACCCAATCTTGGGTCATTTTCACCCAGGACTTGTCTCTGAATCTCCAACCCTGCAGTGTAGAGCAGTATCGAATTTTCAATCTGTCCTAGCATTGCATAAGTATCTCCTAACTGCATACACCCTGCAAATTTAGCAAGTGCATGTTTTTGGCTTTCATCCATCACAGGAATTTCAATCGAGCGCTCAAGAACAGGTATTGCCTCACTGTACTGGCCTAATCTGCAATATAATGCTGCTACTACATGCAAACACATAACAAATTCTAAATTGGGCTTGTCAGTTGCACGATCCTCGAATGATTTTACTGCTCGAAGAGCCAATTCAAGAGCTTTCTGAGGATTATCACCTGACGAAACCAAGTCCCTTGTTTGTTTAAGTAAATATGGTCCAAGGTCCTCAGTCCCATTCTGCAACTTCACCCCTCCTGAAGGAGAATTCTTCTCATTCTTCATGGAGGAAATCGAATTTAGTTTTCTTGGACTCTTAACGTTTCGCTTACCAGTAGGAGGTCTCTCATGGAAAGGTTTGCTTCTTGGACTTGGTTTTGGGGATGATTCAGAGTCCAATTGCAAGTGAGAAAGCCTCTTTGGTTGTGCAGGAGAATTAGACTTAACACTTGCAGAGTGGGTCTTAATTATCTTTCCAAACTTTTCATTCAAAGACCCAATTTCTTTATCAAAAAGACTATCTCCTGCTTCTTTGTTCTCCATGGCTATCTCCTTTGTCATCTCTACCTCCCCATAATCTCCTCCCACAAGAAACCGTAGTTCAGAATCAATTCTCGACTCCTCCCCATACGACAAGAAACTACGCCTCGATGGAGAATGATCAGAGCTCTGCATCTCACAGACATTGTGATACAGTTGCTCAATAGAGTTGTCAACAATCCCATCCATAGCCAGATCAATTGAGTCGCTCTCGGGACTATGAGTACTCAATGGACTTCTGGGAGAACTCTCCTTGAAAATTTCCTTATAGGGCACGTAGTGTCCACTTGGTGTATTGGCAATGTTGTCTCCATTTGATCCTTCCATGAAAAACTCAGGCATCTATACACTGAGAATATGAATCAATGAAGACCCCGGAAGTGTTTCTACAATAGGAAGAAAACCCATTTACAAATTACTAAAAAAAAAAGAAAAAAAAATCTCATAGCATCAACAAATTATCATAATGCACAATCTAAAAATTTCAATAATGTAAGTACAAAACTAATTCACACACCCCCCCCCCAAAAAAAAAAAAAAAAAAACACACACACATGATACGGAAACATCATTCATACTACAAAAGTTGCATAAAAGGTGATTCAAAATTCAAAGTATTTAACATGATTGAAACAATAGTTGATAATGAAGAAAAAGAAACAATTTAATATCCCAAAAAAAAAAGACAGTGATAAGACAATGGAACCTTAAAGGACAAACCATGTTGAGGCCATACCTTAAAATCCTATTGACAAAAGACAAAAGAAAGAGAAGGTGAAGGGGTAATGGTGTCTGGGTTTATAGGCTTTATGCATAAATGGCTGGAGGGATATAATGGTACGTCTCTCCTGGTTTCTAATATATATAGAAGTTGATGGGTCGAAGAAGAAGAAGAGAAAAAGGGTGGTTGAAGCGTAGCTACGTAGAGGACGATGGCAAGAGGGGGAATCAAAAAAATGAAATATTGATATAATTTGGGGTAGACATGAAGATACATACACGCTGGAAATGAATTTGGATGCAGGGTTGGAGAGAGATTGGGATGTTGAAGCGAAACGAAGGCGACTTGTCTCCCACCACCGCCACCACCAACAACGCCGCCGGCCTGTAACCGCCAAATTATGCTTTTTAGGCTCTTGTTTATATTTTTTTTTTGGGGGACTTTTTCCACGTTGCATTCTGAATGATTTCAAGCTTTTCATTTTATACAAGATTAAATTTTTCGTATTCCAGCTTTAATATGTAAAAAGTATTATAATGTAATCTTTTTATTAATTTTTGTTGCTATTTTGGTCAAAAAAACACAAAAAAGGTAACAAAAATTTCATATTATAACACTTTTAATACACGAGAATACAATATAAAATTTAGGGAGAATTACATTCACACCCTTTGAGGTTTGTTACTTAGTCACTCAAATCTCCTGACATTTAAAGTATTACACTCAGACCTCCAAATTTTTGTACGTGAGTAATATTTAGACCCCTATTATAAATATATTTATTAATAAATTACATTCAAATTTCCTGAAATTTGTAAACATATATTACGTAGATCCCTTAAGTTTAAAATGTTATATGTAGACCAAAAATATTTTAATCAAAAATAAAATATTAAATATTTTAAATTTTATAATTAAAATTCATGTTATATTGTATTATTTATTTAAATAAAATAAAAAATAAAAAATCAATTTTTTCTTAAAAAATTATAATTAATATATAATTATTTTGTCTATTAGAATTTAATTTTGTCATTTAAACGACCAAATTAAAATATCAAACTATCCCAATTGAAGTTAAAAGATATTTTGTTCATTACAATTTGACCCCTATTTAATTTTTTAGTTTTATTCTAATAGATATTATAAATATATATTAATTATGCTATTTTTTTTAAAAAATAGATTTTTATTTTTTATTTTATTTAAATAAATGACATAATATAATATAAATTTTTGTTGTAAAATTCAGGTTCTATTAAGAATAACTTAGACCCCTTATTTGATTTTTTTTTTTTTAGTTTTATTTCAATAGATAGTATAATTTGTATACTAATTATAATTTTTTAAGAAAAAAATTGAGTTTTTATTTTTGATTTTATTTCAATAAATGATACGATAAAACATGAATTTTTGTTATAAAATTTAAAATATTTTATATTTGATTGAAATATTNTAGTTTTATTTCAATAGATAGTATAATTTGTATACTAATTACAATTTTTTAAGAAAAAAATTGAGTTTTTATTTTTGATTTTATTTCAATAAATGATACGATAAAACATGAATTTTTGTTATAAAATTTAAAATATTTTATATTTTATATTTGATTGAAATTTTTTTGGTCTAAATATAATATTTTAAATTTAAGAAATTTAAGTATTATATGCGTACAAACTTTAAAGGGGTCTAGGTGTAATTTATTAATGGATATATTTACAGCAAGAGTCTAAGTGTTACTCGCATATAAATTTTAGAGGGTTTGTATATAATATTTTAAATATAAGAGGATATGAGTGATCAAGTGACAAATTTCAAAAAGTATCGTAAATCTCCCTAANACGGTGCAAATTGAGATTTTTTATCTTTGGGGGTGTACATTGATACAATTTTCTATTTTTGAGGGTGTAANTATCGTAAATCTCCCTAAACTTTAATCATTAAAAATATTAAAGTGGAAAACTTAAAATTTGTTGGGTACAAAATACAATTCACTCGTTTTTAAAAAACAGAGCAATTTACTTTTCGCTGTGACTTTGTCATACGTGCTTGGCGCTATTAACGGCTTTTTCAACGCCAAGTGATCTAGTGACAGCAGTGTTGTTGAAAGAGAGTACGAAGGTCCAGTTATCATACACCACGTGGCAAGAGAGTAATGTGTTTGATACGTGACCTTCAGTTACGGGATGATTATTGAGTTGAGTTANAAATTAGAACGATCTTTCAGAGTGTAAAATGAGATTAACCCAAAATTATACCATACTTCAAATGTGGCATCTTTCCTCTCCTAGCTGAGTTGTCGATGTTTGGAAGTTACCTCTCTTGTACATTGTATGAACTCAATCTATAGTAGCACTAGCCAAGAAATCAATGTTCCTTGACTCTTTCGCTGTTTTTTTTTTTTTTTTNGTACGAAGGTCCAGTTATCATACACCACGTGGCAAGAGAGTAATGTGTTTGATACGTGACCTTCAGTTACGGGATGATTATTGAGTTGAGTTTAATGGGACATCATGTTATGTGATCATCACCTCTCGAGGCAGATGGACTTTTAGAAATTTTGGAACTGGGGTGTGATACTGATTGGGACTTTGCAGTTGAGGGCTCCACATTTAGAAAAATTAGTTGTTATGCCAGCTACGTACTACAATTCTTGAGTTGTTCTTTTTCGATATTGTCCGCACCACGCCAAGTTGGGCTCATCATTTCCAATCCGAACCCACTGTCCTCGAGGGGGAGCTTGATGCCCCAGCCTAGGGTTTTGTAATGTTCATGTTGTGCTAGATATTTAA